AAGGCTCAAAACACTGCCTGGTGTGGAGGGTGGGAAGGAGGAGCTGTGTCTGGGGCTGGGGAGAGCAGCTGGGACACTGGGAGATAGCCAAGCAGGAAACCTTAATGATGTTCTGTGCCTATGTACTTCTGCTTCTAGCTGTGACTCCTTTGTTTTTAAACATTTAATTCTGCTGAGGAGCACATACATGTTCCTTTATCTTTAGTGGGTTGATAAACTCATTTTCCTGGAGAGACCTCTACAATACCTGTGTTGGAGTTGGACAGGCTTGCAACTAAGCCATGCACTGTTTTCACGTGTGCTAATGGGAAGAGGCATCTAACCTCAGCTGAAGCTGTCTCCCTTGGACACCCAGCAGAGGGTGAGACAGAAGTCACAGCTGGAGATGGGGGTACCAGATGCTGCCTTGGAGGGGAGGGCACAAGCTGAGATACCAAAGGGGTGTCTGTCTTGAAGATATGGTCAAGTGCTCATGGACTTGTGCCTGGCAGTAAAGAGGAACACACCCTGTTTTCTTTGGCATCAGTAGTTCTGCAGGTGTGTGTTTTGGCTTGGAAAGGGCACTCAGATCTTCAGGGAGCTGGGCTTTGCCCACCTAGTAGAGGTTGAGCATGGAATTTGGAAGTGCTGTAATGTTTGTCAGCTTTAGCAGCTACCTGTCAGCTCCTGGTGGAGCATGCCATAGGAATGGTGGGGAGGCAGGTTCCTCTAGTGTCATCCACTTTCGTCTGCACCTAAAAGAGGGATTTTTCTAAGAGTAATGCAGGTGATCCATGCAAGAGGTACCCATTTTGTCAGCTGCTCTGATGCTTGGAAATGGAACAGATGATGAGTGGGCACAGTGGGCCCAGGACAAGTTTAGTCCTTTACATGGTTGAATCTGAAGACCATGGTGGGGCATCTTTGTTAGGAACAGATATGATAGGAAGCTCTCTTCCCAGTCTGTCATCACTACAGAGTAGCTGTCTTCTCAAAATCTTACAATCAAATAACTAAAATATTTGAATCTGACAGCCTAAAGTTTTTAAAAGGAAGAAAGCATCTTTTTTTGTTGGAAAGGACATTTGAGACTGCTTTAAAAGGTCCCAGGCTGGTGGTGCAGGCAAGGGAAGTGCTGGCCCTTGTTTACCATGGTTCCTGAATAGTTAGCACAGCCTCTTCTCCTCACTTTTCACCTTGCCCAGACCTGAAGGGGTTACGTTTTAAAATGAATAATGACTAAATTTATTCGTCATGGACAAATGATGACAGCTGTTGAGATGCTCCTGTTAGCGCTTCCCAGGGGATAAAGTCAGGCTGGTTCCTAGTGCAAGCCAGCCGAGCCAGGCAGACTCAGCTCATCTTCATCCCAGATTATTTGTCCTGGGTTCCCCTCACTGGTAGGGAATTTCCTCTCTAGAAGTGAACCGAAGTTTCCTGGGCTGAAATGGGTAAAAATCGTGCAGATCTGCAGCCGTAGAGAGAGGACAGAGGCCATGGCTGTTTAAATCCACGTGTGAAGACAGCATGCTTAATGAATCCGAGGGGCAAAGATTGATTATGTTCTGGACTGAGAGCCGCGGCACTCCGTGAAGCACTCTTACATCTGGGCACGCTATGGAAAATATGAAGGAATGTTGAGGAAGCTTATTTGCAGAAGGATATGTACTTGTAAGCAATTTTCTCTTCTTCTTAAATAATGTAAAGGAATTGAAAAACGTAAAGCAGATTGTTTTCTCTCTGTCTCCGAGACAGCAGAGTGGAGAGCAGACAAAGGCCTCTTTTATAAGGGCATGTCTTTGACAGAGAGTACTGTAAGGTCCTTATAAATGAGCACTGGGGGTGTTTTGTGATGGGAGAGCATCAATGGTTATTTAATGTTAGAATGGGGCACTGATTCCGCTTCAGTGCACCTCAGCTGGTGTCCTGAGAGTTACACCCATGCTGAATTTGCCATTTGCAGATACGCTGAAAAATACAATCCCAGTTTAAATTATTATTATGAGCAGGAATCAATGGGTGGCAAAAAAAAAGAGGGTTTTTTAACAACGATGTATAGCAGCTTGGCTTTCTGTTCTTTTCTGTACTCCCGTGTCCAGGTTCCTTTCTGTTCTTTGTTTCTCTTTCTGTTCTGCACACGTGCTGCTGGCAGACTTGATGTGCAGTTCTGAACGTGGTGCTGTCATTCTGCACTGCTCAGATGAGAAAATGCTGTTGGATTATTGAAGGGATATTCTGGTTTGATAAATATGTAGTGCTTAGTTTGCAGACTTAATAAACAGGAAGATGTGATTGTAATCCAGTCATCCCCAGAACTGTGGGTGAGCTGGTTTGATTTGTGGAGTATTGTATTTTTGCTGATGCTCAGAAAAGCCTGTTTTAGAAATAAATGATGGTCTGTTTAGTTGCTGAAATGCTACAGGAATGCAATGCTTTTAATATCTGGATTTTTTAGTTTTTATTACATGAAATAGCAAACCACACCCTTTTCTTTCAGAGGGCTGAGGCTTTAAAAATGCATATAGAAGAGCAAGTGAGTTAACTAACACTGCACCTAGATAGCCTGAAATGCAGCTGATGGAAAATTTTATTACCAGATGAAAGAGGTTATGAACTAGTAAAAGTATCTTTTGTTTCTAATATGACTGACTTTCTCCTGGCTGCAAGTACACATATGTCAAATAATAGGTTGCTAAATATTTTAGGAGTTTTTGAAATAAGTACAACTGGGACAAGTTTTGCTTTAAGTGTTTGGATTGAATGGCTGTGCTGGTCTTTCTGAATCACTTAAACCTCATCCTAGAAGCTTCAGAGATTACACATTTTAAAGCCTGTTTTGATCTGCCCTGACCTTGGTGCAACTCACAGCAGTGTTTTTGAAATAATTTGTGTTAGAACTAGACTGTGTCTTTTGGGGAGAAAGAAGAAAATCAATTTTGCTTTTTTAAGAACTGCTTGTGGTAGAATTCACTGGGTGATGCACCTCCTAACCTCACAGAGGGTCAGCCCCGTGATTATTGCAAAAAATGGAGGGGGGAGCAGGGGGGAAGAGAGGAAAAGAGGCAACTCAATTGAATTTGTTTTTAACCTCCAGCCAGTTGCCTTGTGGTATATTTTTCTATTAGATGAGAAACAATAATAATAAATTACATTGGAAAACTGTGTTAAGAAATCTTCAGCAGCTGTGTTAACACAGAATATAATCAAGCAACTTATTAGGAATCTGGCTAGAGTAAACAATCTCTTGCAGAGAATTTTCATTTAATTGAATTAAAAACATATTTTCTAATCCTTTAATCATTCTCATGATTGTTCCCTGAGCCCTTTTCAAATTATTTTTGCATTACATATGTCAGAGCAAGACTGGTGTCAACAGGGAGATAGTTCGGTCTCGATGGCTACCTTCAGACAGCCCACATCCTAATTGTGTCTTATATTCTCTTTAGCTGTGTGACCTGAAATTATCCAAGTTAAAGTTCCTGTGTTCACTTTTGCCTTGTTCACTTTTTCCTGAACAACAGTACAAGTACCAGTTATTATTTTACCCCTTTCCTTTAGAGTTGGTTTTTTTTCCCCTAGCCTTTTCCCGTATTCCAAGACATCTTGAACATCCAAATCAAGAGGAGATATGTCCTTTCCCACCTTCTAAAACTTTTTGGATGCTTTTGTGTACCTGCTGTGTCAGTACTGAGTTGTGATTGGAGTATGGCATCATGTGCATATCAAAACTGGGGTGTGTAGGTTTTTAGATGATCCATGACAGTTCTCCCATGTCCAGCTGCTAATAAGCCAGTGCCACTTAGGTCAGAGAAAACTGAAAGGGGTTGAGCTGACAACAATTTTGCCTCCCCTAGAATATGCCTATGCCTAACTGTTACCAGGTTATTATTTTACATTCAGAAAGTCCAGCCTATATTGAATTTCACTCATTAGTGTCTAGCTAGGAGCCTGTATTTGTTACTAGGTGTTCCCTGATGCTTTCCTGAGCAGGGATGGATTAAAGCACCTGCTTGACTTTTTGCCAAGTGAAAATTGTGAAGGAAATGTTGCTAATCTGGTGGAGAGTGGATGTGTACCTTGGGCTGTTGGAGAGGTACAGACATGAAGAAGGTCTCAAATCTTAAATTAAATGTTCATGTGGAGAAGCTGACTGATGGGGGCTGAGCTGGCTTTCTGGCCTTGATAATTACGTGTTCCATCTATATCAGCTGCCCAACTGCTTTGTCACCTTTCAACTTAAGGCTGTTTTTTCAAGTGAATTAGCTAATCTGTGTAAAACTGCAATATAAGCAGTCCTTTGGAATTGAAGTGACCTTGACTGAAATTCAAAGGGGCTGTAGTTTTTAGTTAATTTATGTTCATGTTTGGTGGTAGAGGCTAAAGTTGAATGTACACAGAAGGTTCTATAAGGTTTAATGCAGCTTACATTTATGTTTTTATGAATTTGAGGAAATTTTTGGTATTTCCTTATAAGGAATCTCTGGTGTTAGTTTAAAGAGTTAAAGGGGATTTGTACCTCCAGATGGCTCTGTGATTAATGGTCTGTGGTTCATCAACAATGTGGGTGTTGCCATGTGAACTTTCTTGGGTGATGCTGTTTATCCTTGGTCTGGTGCAAGCAGCTGGCAGGTGGGGCAGGGCAGCCTCTGCTGCTTGTCCCCTCCACACTTGGATCTTGCATTTGCTTGTGGTCTTAGTTTCACTACAGTCCATGTTAAAAGAGCTCTTGGAGGCATAAATGTGAGAGATGCAGACTGTCAGCGCCTCAAGTATTATCTGGGACTTGCATCTTTCTGCTGTAGATTCGAAGTTCATTCTTTTCATCTGCAGTAGTGAAAGATTAGGTTCACTGAGCTGGTGGTATTTCACAACTAACTGGATTTTTAAGCATGAGGACACTGCTGAGATGAGGGCTGGCAGAGCAGGCTGAAAAATGTAGCATGCTTGCCATAACATGGGCATGTTCCTTGGGACATCCCTTTACTTCATTGGACTTACAGCTGAGTGTGGTTTCTTGGCAGATAAAATTTTTGACGATGAAGACTCCGTGGATGGGAACAGACCTTCCTCAGCCAGCTCCTCTACATCTTCAAAGGCCCCTGCAAACTCACGCAGAGTTGGGATGGGCACTACCCGCAGACTTGGCTCTGCAGCTCTGGGCTCCAAGTCCTCAAGTAAGCCAATAGCCTGTACAGATTGATGTGTCTGTGAAGTATTTACAGTGTTCATATTGAGCTTCTTGCAAGCACTTCCAAACTGGCCCCCAGAATCCAGTAACAAATCTTTCCATATTCAGTCATTCTGTCTACGTTCTCCACGTGCCACAACCAAAGTCTGGTAGGATGAATCTCCAAGCAATCACCACATCCCCATAATTTATTTTGCATTTTGTGAAAGGTTGCACCTCTGTGGTTGCAGCTGTGAGTTGTGAGTAAATCATATTGGTGCTCCAGTGTGTAGATTTTTGCCTTTGTAGTTCCAGCTCTATCTGAACTGAGGCTGCTTATAGCTACATGCTGAACTTCAGCCCTTGCAGTCTCAACCTGATACACTGGCTTTCTCCTAAGACCTTTGGGCATTGCTGGTAATGAAGGTGCAGAAAGAAAACTGAGCAGTCATTCTGAATGTTAGCAATAATTCTACGTGTAGCTCTAATTCTATATGTGTCCTAGGGAAAGAGAGAAAGCTCCCTATATCAGACAGTCTCTAATCCGATTAGTATTCCAGAGACTATTTATCTTCCTTAACGTTCGTCTGTTTGTGCACCTGTCAGATCTCCACCTTCATCTATTATAGATGGGATTAAATCCTTTAGAATAGTCTCCCATATAATTAAAGTAAGTATTCCCTTTCATCTTTCAGACTGTGCCCCGTAACTGTTGAGTGACTACTGTAATGACTTCCCTAATGTGCCCTCTGTGCCTATGAGTTGAAGGATGCCATGAATGTCTTGTCAGTGCCTGGCATTGAATTTCCCTGCCTCTGCTTTCATTACATCTGCAGCATTCCCAGGCTGCATGGGTAGTGAACTTTCTCCTGATTAAGTGCCTTGGTAGCTTGTGGTTTCTTAATTGATTCTCTTGTTGATAACAAGATTTAAAAGGCTTTTTTATTTGTGTGTCAGCAGCCAAAGAGGGAGCAGGTGCTGTGGATGAAGAAGACTTCATTAAGGCATTTGAAGATGTCCCAACAGTTCAGGTAAGTAGTTACCTGTTAAACCACGCTGCACTAAAAAGCAGAAGGTGGATATAGTATCTCATGCTAATCACTGACAGATTGTGCTTCATTGTGGTGTTGGCAAATCTTTAAGGGGGAAGCAGGTTAGAGGTTGAAAGGAAACAAGTTTTAAACGGTGGGGTGTGCCAGTAGTTTATGGGAAACGCTCTGGGAACTGAAAGCTGTAAAGGTGACTTGTGTGTCAGGGATGGCTGTTGTGAGTGTGACAACTGGACCATGTGTGTTTGCTGATTTAGCTGGATAGCTGAGATGTATCAAGTATCCCATCTCCTTCACTGGAGCTTTATATTTGAGACAGCTGAACAGCATGTGTCCACTCATGGTCTTCTGTAGGTTTTGATTATTACAGCCATTAGTAGCTGCAGGAAGCTATAGTAAAATAATAAAATATGATCCTTTAATCATCTTCTGATAATTTCTAAATTTTTGGTTGCAGACAATGGGTATAAATTCTGAGCATTATGCAAAGCCAATTGTGTCTGAGGCTAGCACATGATGTTTAAGCATTGAGGAGCAAAGGCCATAAGAATGTAGTTGGGAAGTGATTTGATTTTATGGAGTAAATCTTGTATTACAGTGCTACTCTGTATTTCAATTTGTAGATTTATTCCAGCCGGGATCTTGAGGAATCCATAAACAAGATCAGAGAGATACTATCAGATGATAAACATGACTGGGAACAGAGAGTTTCTGCGGTAAGTAGTGAATTTAGATAGGATCTCTGGTGATAGAATCTTTTTCTACACTGAGCTTAATCCCACTGAGGGTGCTTGGGAGAACCTCAGACTAAGGCTGGAATGTAGTTTTAGTGGTGAGCACCTGTAATGTTCCCCCAAACTTGAGGGAAATGTTTCCTTGTGAGACTGAATTTAAGCCACATTTGTGAGGGAACTGCTGTTTGATATACAAGAGTCTGTTGAGGCAGCATCAGACTGAACTGGAAGTTGTGCAGCAAATCCAGGTGCAAAGCTAGAAATTTGTTAGTAGGTGCTAAAATCAAAGTATCAAGTCTTATTCAGAATATCTTAAAACTTACCTGATAAGGCAGAAAATTACTTTGCTTACGGAGAGCTTATTTATACTCCTGCAAAAGGGAGGTGTAAAATAATTCAGCAGGAACGTACACGCTTAAGTTTTGAATAAATATGACTGTGGGAAATGTGGAAGTGGAAAATTGGATGTTATATGCATGTCAAGATTGAGTATTATTTACTGAGGTGAGCTGTGTTTTCATGATACAAATAGATGCATGGTCTTGTCTACACAGTAGACTTTCACCACTGGTGTAGCAGCTTTGCCTTGTCTGTCAAACCCTGTGTTACAGATCTGAGAGGCAGACTGGGCTAATTCAGCTTACTTCTGTTTAGTTTTATTTCTGTACCGAGTAACAGGGAGCTGAAATTGAGGCCATGTGTAGATGCATTGGTGCACGGGAGGGCCTGTGAAGGTGTCAGAGGATTGTCTGTAGGATGAGATGGTGGTCCCTGTAATATTAATAGGAAATTTCCCATTTTGATGAGGTCAGGGTTCCACTTCTGCTAGAGCCAGATAACTGTTTTAATGAAGTCAGTTGACACATTCTGAATATAAGTCAGTATTACCCAGGCCTGGGTGAGAACCATGCCCTGTAAGTCTAGGTACCATTTTAACACAAGAGTCAGCTGTGAGATTGCCTCAACATTAGAAACTGCTGTAAATAGGGGAAAAAAGGGGAATGTTTAAAATATTTTGGTTTAAAATATATTGTTTGGGTTATTAACTATATAATTTGAGTAGCTGTATGCAACACTTCTGGATTTCTGTAAGTTAGCAAGGGTGTTTTGCTTATTGTACTTCGTTTGTTAACTAACCATGAGTTGAATATAAGATAGGAAATAATAAAATTACTTGGACATCAAGAATCAATTTCATCAGTTCATGTTGATGAATAATTGCACAAGAAACCTGGAACCAGGTATTGGTCCTGAACATAATTGTCCTTACATTTGCTGCTCATTAATGGTCACTGTTTTCTTTTATGCTCCTAACAGTTGAAAAAGATCCGTTCCTTACTTTTGGCTGGAGCTGCAGAATATGATAACTTCTTCCAACACTTAAGACTTTTGGATGGAGCATTTAAATTATCTGCTAAAGACCTGCGGTCTCAAGTCGTACGAGAGGCTTGCATCACGTTGGGGTAAGTTTATTTTCTATGTGTGTTTGAAACATGATGTAGAAGAAGAGGAACAGACGCTGGTTAAAACACAATTAGGATGTAGCTTGTGCTGCTAGTTAAAGGTAGAACGTGGTTTTTCTGCATCTGTTTCATGTAGGTCACTAATTGTAATTCTGCCAAGCTATGTTCCTGAGTAATAAATAGTGCTGATGTGGGATACACAGAATGAACAAGCAAGCCATGCCTTCATGCACAAGTAGGGAAGCATTAAACAATAAAGCTGAAAATGTTTGTTTTGTTCTGGTTCAGATTGAGCTAGTTTTTATATCTGATGGTCTATCCTATGTGAAATACCTCAAGAAAAAGCGTGCTGCAGTGTTTCTGACATTTTTTAAAAAAAATATATACATATTAAGGCAAAATAGGGAGCTTCGGAGAAGTTGTAATATAAACTAACAAAAAATATTCCATCACCTTGATCCCATTTGTTTGATAATAAATTTTTAGCTGTGCTAGTTACTTTATTTTATGCTGACCTTACTGTTTCTTAGGGTTCAGATGAATATAAGACACAAGTTTGAAATGAAAGGGAAGGAACTGTTTTTGAAACACGGTGTTATCTGTCGTTTGGAGTTGGAAAGGAGGTGACAGTTGCAAAGATTGAGATGTCAGATGTGCTTATGTCAGATGTTCTGTACAAGTCTGACTCGCTTTATCTTCAGCTCACTTACCAGCATGACTTCATTCTGTTTTTCAGACATTTGTCATCAGTTCTGGGAAACAAGTTTGACCATGGGGCAGAAGCCATCATGCCAACAATTTTTAATCTAATTCCAAATAGTGCCAAAGTCATGGCCACTTCTGGTGTTGTAGCAGTTAGATTAATCATTCGAGTAAGTATGCATCAAAAGAGAACAGTGTTATAATTTCCGAACACTGCAGTGTTTCTGATGAAATATGAGTGCTGTTGCAATGAAAATAAGATTAACTGCCTAATCTACTTTTCTGATAGTGCTGGGCTTGGCTGTCTCAGATGTTGTGCAGCCTTGTGCAGATGATGCTTGTTAAGCTCTGCCAGAATAGTTGGGGAAACGTTTCGTTTTGCAGGGCAAGATATTTCCATCCCACTAAGAGCTGAGCAAACATTTTTCTTTGAAAGAGTTTTAGACCATCCTTGCAACACAGCCTCATCCTCTTAATTATGCTCTAAAATACCTCACAGACTGTCCTTGTTTTTCAAAACTGTTAGTTCTCAGTGGTGACTTCTGCCTAGTGATTCATTGGCTAAGCTGTAGGTAGCCTCATGTCTCTCAAGTTGTCACCACTGGCAGTTTAGATCCTCCCACAGTGATTCCAGCTCCTTGACTCACTAGAGAGTGTCATTATAGAAGAAAATCAAGTGTCTGTTACAGGTATTTTAGCTGATAAATTGTAAAATATTTTTAATATTAAAAATCTGTGCGTATCTGTTAGTGTTCCTTTATCTAGCAGTTCTGTTTTTAAGAATTGAGCAACAATAAGGATCTGAACACTGAGCTCAAGTGGCTGAAGGAGATAGTCTTTCATTCTGTGGAATTGTTGTGTAAAGATTTCTTCCTATTCTTGTTTTCTTCCAGCACACGCACATCCCTCGGTTAATACCCATCATAACCAGTAATTGTACCTCCAAGTCTGTTGCAGTTAGAAGGTGAGAATTTAGTTTGCATTTACTGGTTTTTACTAGGAAATAGGTGCTTTCTGAAAATGTGAATGTATTTGTTGTTGTTTGGGAAAAGAGTTGAAAACACACTTACTTATTATAACATGAATCTCATACTTCTCCATGATTTGAGTTCAAATTCAAAGTCAGCTGTTCTGTATAAACTGCATCACTTCAGAGAGGAAAAGGTGTTTTTCCACAAGGAGAAATGTTTTTTAAACTAATTGTCATTACGTGTTGTTATAACAACATATTATTTTGGCATTTTTACAGACACGTTCCTATTGCCCACTGCTGGCTGTTACAGTGACTTGTTTTCTTTGAGCCAGTAAATCAGTCTTATATGAAAGCATCATCTGGAAAGGAAGTTGGACTGAATGGTCTAATGGTCCTGTCTGCACTTAGATTTTAAGTGCTTCAGTCCACTACCTCACTGGCAGACTCTTGCTTCCTCCATATACCTTAACTGGTTCTTTTAGGGTTAGACAGAAGGAAGGGCTTTGTGCTTGCTGTATTTGGTGACAAACCTTGGACACATTTCAGCACACTTGTTCCTTAAGATTCCAGAAGTGAGGAAGGGAGGTTAAGGTCAGAAGGGTTTGTCCCCATGTGAGGCTAACTGTGAGGTTTCTGTGTGAAGCCTGGACTAACAGGTACAGAGTATCAGTGTCAATCTTCTGGGACTGTATCCTGTTAAATTAAAAAGGAAGCTTCCAGGATTGTTTTATGACAATCCATCTCTTCAGGCTTCTCTATAGCAAGCTGCCTCCAATTAATACTTCAGGCTGTTTATTAATTTTTTTTAAGCCGTTGATATTTTTATTGGGGTCAACACTGAATTTTAATGGCCCAAAAAGCTTCCTGAGCAAAGATGGCTGTTATTCAGTCAGGTATGCAAAGCCAGTGTGCCCCAATTAGCTTAAACTCAGCATGTCTTCTCTCTCCTCTCAGGCGCTGCTTTGAATTTTTAGACTTGCTGTTGCAGGAGTGGCAAACGCACTCCTTAGAAAGGTAAGTTCTGAATACAAGTGGATTTGTTCTCTCCTACTTATCTGGGGAGGAGGAGATAATTTTCTGGATCATTCTGGAGAAAAGATCATTTAGGAAAGAAGGTTGTATTAGGTAGCTGTAGTAGAGATGTTTTTGCCACCCAAATATGTAGATACACCATTTGTTCTGTAGTTCCATCAGAGTTTGGTATGTCTCCTGTGCCAACCTTGGAAAACCCGGCTGAGCAAATCCCTGAACTCAGTAATTTTTGTTTAATTTTTTTTTTTCCTTTTGTACCCGGAAGTGTGATAATGAGGTGAAGTCTGCTGCATGTCTTGTCAGGAGCTTCTGAGACTTTTATATTACTTCAAACTTGTGACCAGTTAAAGTAATTGTGCGAGGAGAGACTGGGACACAATTTTCTTAGCCCTAGACTGCACAAGACTATTTAGGGTTTAGGAGTCTATTCTTGAATCCAGGCGGTTTGGATAGCTAAGTAAAGATCTATGAAGAATGCTGCTTGCTGTTTCCTAGACAGCAGTGTGGATGAAATAAAACTGACTTGGAAGAATAAATAAATAAATGTCACAAAAGATCCTTGATGGAAATGAAAGGATGTGGTGAACTGTTTGTTTTCAGAAACCAAGGCAAAATCTAATTAGTCATTTGTTTATAAGTATGGGATATCTTTCTGAACTGCTGGATAATATTTTCTTTCTTATTTCAGGCACATATCAGTGTTAGCTGAAACTATAAAGAAGGGAATTCATGATGCAGACTCTGAAGCCAGGATAGAGGCAAGAAAGTAAGTGGAAGCTGTTGTTAGTGTCTCTTCTTCCTCCCTTTCTTTGCCCCTGTTTTGTGAGTTAGTGGTATTGCATGGTTGAGACAAAAATCCAGTCAAGATACGTTCTCCTGACTTCCTAGTTGGTGGAAGAAAAGAGGGGCTGTGGGGTGACCATTCTGTCAAGTTTCCTGAGGAGAGGAAACAGAGGGAGGTGCTGGTCCTTTCTTCCTGTCATCTGGCGATAGACACATGGGAATGCTTTAAAACTCTGCCAGGGGAACTTCTGGCTGGACATCAGGAAGCATTTCTCTACCAAGAGAGGGGATCACACACTGGAACAGGGTTCCTAGAGAGGAGGTCAATGCCCCAAACCGGTTTCAGGGGCACTTGGACAATGTCCCTAACAATGGAGTTTTAACTTTTGGTCAGCTCTGAATTGGCCAGGCAACTGGACTAGATGTTTCTTACAGGTCCCATCCCACTGAAGTAGCGTATTCTATTGTTATTCTCTACTCTTGAGATAAAAGTCTTTGTGCTAGTACACTGCTAAATGGTATCCTAAATTAAGGTAGTGTTGTGTATCTATAGGAAATTTTAGTATTTGCAATTAATTTTATTCTTTTGAAGACCTTACACATTTCCATTGATATGATCATACTTGTGGCAGTATGCTGGTGTATCAGGATCATGCTCTTCTGAACAGAACACTACAGGAATGTTTTTCTGCAGAAGGAGGATGGTGTAAAATGTGAAAACGATGAACAATAAATTTTATTAATCTAAATGCTGTGTTTTAAGCAGTGATGTTTCACAGTAGGACTGCTTAAATCCTTTTCAAAGGCAGTATGTCCATCACTGAAAATTACAGTAGTCACTGAGACTTCACAGCAGGTGACTATTTAAGCTGAATAGACAGCAAGAAGAATGGCATGGGACTTTAGAGAGCATGCTTAATTCTCTCTCCCCATGTTTATTAAATAGCAGTATGGCTGATTGCAAGACAGAAATTTGTTTTCTTCTTGTGATGTGAGAATGCATGTGGCTTCTCTGAGGACTGGCTGTCACACACAAACAATTCTTGATTCACTTGAGCTAATGATCTTACTCTTAAACTGCCCATTAGTTGCTCTCTGAAAAGTACCGAGAGTCTTCATCTCCTTTGTGCCCCAAGAGTGAATGGTGTTTAGCCATCAGCCAGGAGGTTTGGACCATAGAGGAATTCTTCCCTCATCCTAAAATGCTCTTTTATTTTCCTCATGGCACTGATTTGAAGTCTGTGTGAGCATCTCTTTTCTTTTCCTTGTTTTTGGTTTTTGGTTTTTTTTTTTCCCCAAAAAAGACAGGCAGCAGCCTCAGTACAGAGACATGTCTCTGCAGCATTCTTTGAGAGCTGTTGGTTAAACTTAAGGAAGAAAACAGCAGCTGGTGCTTTCCTGAATCAGGCCCATTCATGTGTGTTCTGCCTTTGGCATGTTTTTGAAGTAGCTACTGCACACCCAGTCCCAATCTAGTGTCGGTCTGGTAGGCCTGCAGTCTCCCATGTACAGTAGACAGCTGGAGGGGTGAGGGTTTCTTCCCTAATACAGCTTTGTTGGCTACTCCTTTTTTTACAACAAATGCACCAAATGGTTCTTTCATTTGGTTTGTTTTCTGTGCAACTGTTTGAGCAATACAATGGTTGAAAAAGCTGCTTGTCTTAAATGTGTCAGGGCAGTAGGTGCTTGAAATGACTGGGCTAATGAGCCCACTAATGGGAATAGTGAGAAGGGCTCTGGCTGTACCTTTGTATCACAGTCCCCTAAAACATGACAAGGGTGTGTTCACAGCTCTGTGTGTCTTTTCCAGGTGCTACTGGGGTTTCCACAGTCACTTCAGCCGGGAGGCAGAGCATTTGTACCACACCTTGGAGTCTTCCTACCAGAAGGCCCTGCAGTCCCATTTGAAGAACTCTGACAGCATTGTGTCCTTGCCGCAGTCGGATCGCTCCTCCTCCAGCTCCCAGGAGAGTCTCAAGTAAGGTTTTCTGTGTCATTACTTCTCCATTTAAACAATTGCTGATAGACAGCTCCATTGAATTGAAGGGAGCCATCACGTTGCTTTAGCTCATCATTTGGACTCTACGCTTGGTTAATCCAAAATTGATTGGTTGATTTATATATAGCACTGTATGAACATCAAAACCCTGTACTGGCTTTAAAATACAATTATTAGATGGACTCAATAAATAATTTTCTAGGAAACTATTTGTGCTCAGCAGATACTGGTAGTTATTCCCTTCAGGTGCTTAAAACAGTGCTTAGATTAAAGTTCTGCCTTTAGCATTAATCCTAGAGGTGTAAGTCTGTCTCTTTCCAGACAAAAGAAAAAAATTATTAAATTAAACTTGAGTTGTAACTGTAGAGTCAATATATAATTCTTATGTTGAATGTATATATTTTAGCTACTCCCAGATATCCAGTCAACTTAGCCTCCAAATATCTGTGATTTAAGTGTAAGACCCATATGAAAAACATCCATAACTTACTGGTGTAACTTTTTAAATCTGCAAAAAGCGTTCTTAAAGAATCTGTTTTAGTACAAATAATGTGCTAATTTATTTCTTAATGTTTTTATAAATAATTTCACGGTGGTGCTGTATTTATTCTTAAACAACAAACTTTAGTAGTTTATTCCTGCATATAAATAATTTCCTGTTAATTTAATTGTTTACTGAGGGAACAGAATTGTACTGCTCTTGATAAATGAAATATAAGTTTTGTTTCAGTAAGTATTTGTATTAACTTCCAGCCGTCCGCTGTCTGCCAAAAGAAGTCCTACTGGAAGTACAACATCAAGAGGTGAGAACAGGAGTTGAAAAATGTGCTCAGGTGTTGCTGAGGAAGTGTGACATTGTGATACGCAAAAACCAACTTCGATCACTGTTTACTGCTCCCTAAAATGGCAGCTTAGGATGTAAAAAATTTTAATTACTTCGGGGTTTTACACCAAATTCTGTGCATCAGCTACTGATAAAATAATGCTTTTAAAAGAAGTTAGTTAATCAATAATTTTTTACACCTGAAGGAAAGCCTAAAAAGCCTTGAAAATTGTAGCCAAGGTATGTTTGGCTTTATAATAGCTTGAATAAACTGCTGCTGATGCTAAGACATGCAGCTACATAGTCTAAGAGTGCCTTCAGTTTTACAGTTTTTGTTATTTATTCTCTGTGGTTTCTGCACTTACTAGAAGTGTCTGCACACAAGTCCTACAGTGTTAAATTCCATCTCATTGCTACTTGTCAGATGGAATATTTAGATACAGCTTTTCTGTCCTAAGTAAATGTATACGATAATTTAAGTAATACATTTTATTATAGAATATAATAGACAAAACTTTGTTGGTAAACGATAAGCTGCCTTTTACACCTGACCAAGGTTGGGTTCTGGCTGGTTTGTCTATAACTACACCTTACTGAGACCTTTGATTCAAGGAGATGTTGTTGTGTAACCTACTTGACTGTGCACACAAATGCATGTTTGCTTGCAGCTGAGTAGTCAAGCTTCATGCTTAAGAGGGTGAGCATCAACAAGTGATGGGAGCAGCGATCCTCATGAGAAGATGAGGTGTTGGGAAGGAAGTTATTAGAACCTGGACTGAAGGACCTGCCGGTCTGTTTCGGCCAGCAACTCTCACAAGCCAGTGATGGGTACTGTGGTTGAACTTTCCCATCTAGATTCTGTTAGAAGTTTCTTTTTACTGGCCTGACAGCCTTTTTGATCTTATAATTTAGGCTTTTAGAACTTGATAAAGTTCTTAGAGGTAGCATCAGGGCAGCATTGATGAAATATCTTTGCAGGCAGTGTGGGGAAGCCCACATTACCCTGATAAAGCATTCTTAGTTGAGGTATTTCAGTGCCAGCAGGGAGTGTTAAAAATAGTACTTTAAACTGCTTGTCAGGCTCTTTGAAGCACACAGCTCAAAAAATTAATCTTCTTTATTCTGGATCTCCCACTCCCATCTGCAGCATCTACAGTAAGTACAAAATCTGTGTCAACACCAGGATCTCTGCAGCGATCCCGCAGTGACGTCGATGTGAATGCAGCAGCTAGTGCCAAGTCAAAAGTGACGTCTTCTGGAGCATCCACCCCCTTCAGTTCTGCTGCAGCCTTGCCCCCAGGGTCATACGCATCACTAGGTAAATCTACATGTTCTACTCTTGCAGTTAGCATTCTTTAGTAGCAGAAAGTGCCTCGCAGTTTTATTGGAATAATAAACTGACTAGAAGAACGTGCCTCTGAGATAGTTACCAGCTCTCCAGGATCAGTGTGTGATCTCTTGCCCTTTGGGATTAAGGAAAAAAAGAAATACAACAGAAGTGACTTGAAGCAACAGTTTTGAATTATGTAATAATCTGCGTCTCACTCTTCTTTCTGGGGAAAAAAGCAGAACATATTATGGTTCTGGGACATTGCTGAGGACAATGCTACTCAATTCCTTTTGACATATTCCCCTGTCTCTTCTCCTCCTTTTCCTTCCCTCCTTTCCTGAAACTGGTTTTCCATGAATTGTTTTATGCTTTGAATAGTACATCTTAGTTGAGTTTGCTCCCTTTCTGTTTCACAGAGGAGAAAGATAGAGAAGCAAAGAGGAGGCTGGCCTTGCCATGTCATCACGCAGGATATAAGTATCTGTTCCTCATGCTGACTCTCTGGATTATAGCCACATGTCACATTATTTTCTCAGAGCATTGTTTATCGCCTTCAGGTGTCCCAGGTTTTCTTAAACTTTGCCTTGGATCTTTCTCTCCTGGAGTTGCCGTCAAAGGAGTCACAGAGGAGGAAATGCAAGGCAGTGATTGACACTGTACTTGCTGAGCTTCATCTCGGTTGTGAGCAGAGCTGATCATCTGAGCTCATTTCTCATTCTGCTGGTTTCACACTAATCTAATCCCAGACTTGTCATCGATTTACCTTTACAACAGGGAAGAAACTCATGGGTCTGTGCTCTTGATTTAAGTAAGCTATGTATATTGTCTTCACTTGAGCTGGTTGAGGAGTTTCTTCTTCTAATGTAGGGCATTTGCTCTTTGACCTGTTAAAAAGTGAGTGGTGAATTATATAGGGATGGTTTTTATGGATTCCTTTTTCAGACAGGTTTCTTTCATATTTGAAATGTTTTACCCTGGCTTAGATGCGTTGGTTATATTCAGTTCAGAAGTTGAATTCTTATTCTTATTTAAATTGTTCATTACTTGGTTCAAGATTTAGATACATTGCAGTGGAAGTGCAATTACAGAATGTGAAGTTGATCACATTATGGTGGGCTTACAGATGCAGCCACTTTTGAGTTGTGCTGCACTCTGGCTTCAGTGGCTAAACTGGCTTCTAACAGTCTTATGTCATGAGGAAGAATGAAGAGGGAGGAAGTATCTACTTAAAACTGGCTTGGTCCTTGGTCCTTGGAGCTTAGAGACTGAATCCAGTGTCAGTCTTGTTCTTTAACCAGGCTCTAGGAGAAAAGTAGCAAATTCACTCTTAAATGATGCAAACGTGGCTGCTCCTGAAGGTTCCTGCTTTCCTTTTTAGCTAGTAGGGACATTTATCACCTGCACATTCCCATGAGAGAAATGGTGAGGCAAACAACGAAAATGGAGTTGGCCAAAGATTGGTTGTTGCAGGAGGGAAAACCTGCAAGTGTTTTCTTCTGATACATCAAGGTTTGATTTGTTGCTCAATCCAACTTTTTTAATTTCTTTAACTGTATTAATTTTTTTTCATATTTATGTAGCTAATATATAGTGCCCACTTCTACTGATGTTACTGATTTTTCCCTATTAACCCTGTCCTTACTTTTCTTTAATTTGCCTAAAGATGGTACTGCCAGTAAAGCCGAGGGTAAGCAGTCTCTCTGTGTAACTGAGGTGTGTCCACAGTCGTACTACCCTACCTGGTCTCTGTTCTCAAAGTGTTACCTGGTTCTCATCCATGTTCACTGGTGACCTGCATGAAGTGTTGCATGGTTGTCCTGCTCATTTTGATGCCATGGGGTATTCCTCACTTTCTCTTTGAGCTCCTCCCTGCTGATAACCATTAGTCTGCTTTTATGACTCTGGTCACTAAGTTGTTACATGGGTTTCTCTATTTAAAGCACTGCTTTTGGTTGAAGGTGACATGTGTATAGACTAAAAAAAAACTCAACTAAAACCAAAAAAACTCCCAAACAACACAAGGCTTGTGATTTCTTTTCTCCTTGATGTGTAAAGGTTTGCTGTGTTTTTCCACCCAAAGCTCAGGTCACAACTGCCAAATGCTTTTGGGAAGAGACTGGGCAGTGAGAGAATTGAATGAGATGATCACATGGCAGAAAAATGAGGACAGTAAACAATGATCTCTAGGGAAGGAATATTTAGTCAACCTCTTTAAACCTGACCTCTCTCTTTTTATTGTTAACTGTCTGAGTGAGATGCCTTACACCAAAGACAGTTGGAGGAAAGGCTTTTTTTACTAGAACACTGAGCCTGCTAGTTTGGAAAGGATCCCAGTCTGTTTTTCTGGCCCATTGTCAAAACTTGTTCTTTATTTCTTATTTCTTCAGCAAAAAAAAGATCACTGGGAAATCACTTTTTCTGAGGTAGACAGGAGTTGAAAACAAGAATGTTTTCTACACAGAATGAAGATACCACACTCTCCAGCAAAGATTTTTTTTATTCCCCAATGTGAATCTCTTTTCAAGGGATCTATTACTGTCATGTGGGACTGTGCTTGTATCTTTGATGGCTGCTTGTATTTGGATGTGGTGGTCTGAGAAGTGCCACTGTGCTGTTGTGACATCTGTGTTATTTTTCTTACTATTAGTGATGAATTGATTTATTATTTGGAGGAAAAGGTCTGTACCATTTTTGGAAATGGTACTTAGTGTTGAGAGATGAGCTGACCTCTCCTTTGCATCTTGAGCAGGATATTAGTGCTTTGTGATCTGTCAGTGATAAAGAATATGAAGTTGGCCTGAGACCTATATTTCTAAATCAGTCCTGAGTTAGGTGAAAATTCCAAGCTGTTGTAATAACTGATCTTTTTTCTTCTGCTTTTTTTTTTTTTTCAATTTTTGGCCTACATTTGAAGTGTTCAAGGTTTAATGTTTTATATGAAATACCATATGCAGCTTTCAATCCTCTCCTTGGCTATAATAATGTTTGCAGAGGCTTGTCACAGCAGCTGTTCTGTGGAATACCTCTATTTTTAGTTTATTAAATACTTTATTGTCATGATGCAAAAGGGTAGGGGTTTTATTTGGTTACTGTTTTCAATTCAGTTACATTTGGAGCAGATTGGATTTGGTTAAAATCTGTAATAGAAACCAGCAAGTTGCTTGGGGCAGGAAAGATTGAGATGAACTTTCAGAAATTGAGTTTGCTATCCCCTAAGTTTTATATACCAAGTCTTATACCTTCTTTTTGCTGTAGGATTCTCACTTTTTTGAGGAGGAAGATCAGGGAGAATTAAAACTACACAGTACACTATAGTCAGAGTACTTCAAGAATGAGTTTAATCGCTGTTTGAAACTCTTCATCTTTCTCTTTGAGATAGTTCAGGGAAAAAACCCCTTTATTCAGGATTGAGTGTGTCCTTCCCTGAATAATGAAGCTGAGTAAGGTCTTCTGCCAACTCTGTGATCTTGCAGGTTGAGTCAGGAACTACAGGGAAGATAAAACTTTGTATTCTTGACATAAATGTAGAAATTAAGAGGGTGGGGGTAGACAAAAACATCCTCTTGCTCTGGAAACAGAAGGAAGCAGAACATAAAACAGAAATATCATCTACAATTGCGCTCCTCTGGCTTTTGTTTTTTTTACAAGTCACCAATAAGAGAAAATTCCTGTGTCTTTTTGTGTGGTTCAGCTTGACATTAAATCTGCAGTCTGGTTCCCATCATGGCTTTCTGTAGCTGCGTTGTAAAATTCTGCTCATTCCTGTCAGCTGGGAGCCAGCATTGTGTGGACTTGGCAGTTCCCATCTCCTTTGCCCTTGGTTCTCCTCACAGTTTAGTTTGGAGTCAGGCACTTCAAACAAAGGAGCAAGATGGGATAGGTGATGCTGGTGACAAGAATGCAAATTAAGAGCTCAGTATCAGTCCTTTGGTATTAAGTTGTGGCATCCCAACAATTGGCAAATGCTGTAGAAATTCACTTCCTTATGGAAAGGTAGGTGAATCTGTATACGAGTGAGGTTTATGCAGATCTTGATGCAGTGCACAGATGTGGCTTGATTGCCCAGACCCTTCATGTATGGGGATCTTTTGAACTGCATTAAGGGCATTACACACAGAAAGCTCGAAAGAGATAAGCCTTTACAGTCTTGATCTTCACAGCTAGTGCTAGGGAGGTGGCACTTGTGCCATGTTTGTTATACCTGATTAAAAGGAAGCCTTAGAAAAGTTTCTGCTTACTTTCTCATGAAACAGCTTTTCAAATAATATTTTAAAAGGGTGCATAATGCTGACTTTAATTAGAATGGCTTAGAGCATTTGTGTTACTTTTTTCAGAGCAAGCATAAAGTCAAACCCTTCAGACAAAGCCTTTCTCCAAAAGGGAAAGCATAAATGCTGGTTTGACCTGTGACTGGCAAGTTCAGAACAAAATCAGCAGTTTGCAGCCAGTGTCACAATTTTTAATAGTTTCTAGTATCCACCAGAAAGTCAGTAAAATGGGATTTGTTAGTTTTCAGATAACTTAGGCTCAGGTAGACACCTTGAATGCATTATCAAAGGCTTTGAAAGTAACACAAGTTTAAAGAAATCGCTATTCCTGTTTTCTTCTCTGCCTTAAAGCTCTCCCTTGTCCTTAAGGGTGAGGCTTGATTCAAAGTAATGACTGACAGTGGTACCTTACATGGAACTGCTCAGGTAGTAGGTTTCTTATTTTGCTTGCTCCATCTGTTTGCAAAGTGCTGAGCTGATTTGGCTTGTGTGTAGGGCAAAGTGCACTGTTCACTGAGGCCTGTGCTTTGGAGGGAGATCTCATGTAAAGCCTAGAGGCAGCACAGCTTGATGGTTTCAGTAAGGATCAGATGCCTCTCAGGGAAAATCATGGTGCAGAGTCAGGTCTTTCTAATGTTGGAGAAGTGCTAAATATGCATGGAAACCATTCTGGTGATGGTTGTAAGAAGTTTTTTATATATTATCTATAAAGCATGTTTTTAATTGATCTCTGTGTGTCTCCCAGGTCTGTGTGTTATTTAGCAGTGATACAGCTAGGGCTAGAGGCTGTTTCAGGAATGTTTTTCTCCAAGTAGGGCAAAAACCCCAGTGTTGGGTAACCTAAATGCATTAACCTGATCCTTGGAGAGACCATCATCATTCCAGTGCATCCCCACTGTGCCTGTGTATAACTTGTGTGGTTTTAGGTGTCCCCTTTCACAGTATGGAATTGATTAAAGTGAGTTGTGGAGCTGTTAATACCATTTTCTAGACTGTTTGGAAACCATTTTCTTCAGTGTAATATGCAGACTGACTGTCACAAAAAGCCTATGACTGTTCTGAGCACTGGGGATGGGGGTGCTGCAGCATCCACCCAGAGGGCTCAGCCTGCCAGGTGAAGCCTCTTGTAAAGCACAGATGTTATCACAGAATCTTCCTTAATTTGTTCCTTTTCTGAAAACTAAACAAAACAACCTTTCTAGGTTTAGGCATTTGTTAGACATTTCAGGGTTGATTCTGAACTGTTGTAAAAATGACAGTAACTTTAAAGAATAAAACCAAAACCTCCTAAAAATCCAGAAATGGTTTCTTAACACATTTATATGGAATCTTTCAAAATCTTTTCTCTACCAATAGCAGTGTGTCACATGTCAAATTTAGGTCAAGGGCTTTTTAATGAAAATGCTTGCATGGTTTTTGGAAACTCGTTGGGGCAGTCTTTTTCTGTTCCTTTGCTGTGCTGTTGTTGTTAGGATGCGCAATGCTTTTAAAAGCAGCAGAAAAGTAATGGTTAATGAAATATGGATTGCTATATCTGTAGTTTGAGCTAGATATGGAGAGAAACCCACTTGAAAGCAAAGAAGTTTTGAGAGGGGAGGTGTTTGCTTGAATTTAAAAACAACAAAAAAGTAAATAATTTACTTGATATTTTATTTCCAGCCCTGCTTGAAATTAGATTTTTCTGTCTGGGTTAGAATGATAAAGCCACACACATAGTCCAATGTGCAAATAAGTCTTGGAAATGAGTGCAGATTCTTGTTTGCAAATGAAACTCCTGGGGGAATGTACAAGACACATTTGTGTTGTGTGGATTAACTACTGTATATGCATGCTGTACTTGGTATAATATATATTAAAAAAAAATCCATTTGCACAGTGCAACTCTGTGCAATGTTAGTTCAAATGTTTGTCATCATTTTTTAAAGGATGAGAAAATCTGTATCATTATTGGGACTCTGTTCCTTCTGTGGAAGAACAACTTCTCCTCTCACACTGTTCTCTCTGACACCCAATGGGCCTAAATCAGTGTGCAAATCCGCCAGTCCAAAAGGAAGCAGAATTTTGTTCCTGTGCATTCGTTCTTTCATTCATTCAGAAAATGCTGAAGTTGGTAGGAATCTGTCCACCAGCCCTTGGGGGTTTCAAAATAGGGCTGAGTTCTCTTTTTCCAATCCTGCTGATAATCACTTGCTAATTAAGTTTGTGTTAGCTCTGTTTTATTTTCAAAACCTCTAGAATTGGTTTCAGAAGCTAATTTCAGTTTCATTTTATCTATTGTTTATGGGTTTGTATCTCTTAAGTTGGAAAAGTCGCCACTCGTGCTATCCCAGTTTTCCCCTTCTTAGTGACCTACTGATGAAGATGCAAGAAAAAAAAATCTTTTGTAGATGCAGAAAAAGCCAGGAAATTTTGAGGATCTTAAGTGGTGTTTGTGTAGGAGGAGGAGGCATCAGTCCCTTCTCACCCATTCTTGGCCCACGCACATCACCAAACGTGTCTTCCAGTACTGTGCTCTCCAGTGCTGTGTGTGTAGTGTTGAATTTCAGCTTGATTTCCCCTCTAGGACTTCCTACAATGCCAAGGCCTTCCACTGGTCATCTGGAAGGACGTAAATTAATTCCATTACTGATTCCCAAGATTGGTCAGGTTTAAATTCTTGTCTTGCTGTGATGCTTTCTTGATAGAAATGAAGGGAAGCTTTGAGGCTTCTGAGAGGAGCACGATGTCTGCCTGCCTTGGAGCCTGTGTCAGGCTTTGGATCCATACTCATTAACAAGTGACAGAGTGGTTCTGCACATCTGTGTGTTGCTGTGCAACACTGGCACGGGATGGGATCTGGCTGATGGAGAGCCGTGAGCTGCCTCTGGCAGTGTATCAGGCTGACCCTTTGTAAGGGGCAAGAATGCCCTAGAGCAGAGGAGTCTGCAGCCATCAGCAGCCAGTCTTATGGCTGTTGAACCCACATGGGTGTGCTCAGAGCTTGTTCAGTTGAGCCAGTGGTTAAAAAGTTTTGTTGTGTTTTCCCAGTTTTATGCTGATGATTCCTTCCGTGTCTCATCTATAAAGGATTGTTTGAATGTACATACCTCTACTTTGCCTACTGAGCTGTTTTAAAACTAGATGCTGGTGGAAAGATTGAAGTAGAACTGTCTTGTCGGCTTTTTCCCTTGCAAACAAATTTACCCTTTCTTCTCAAAGTTAGGCATCTCCTTGTCACTTTGTGTCTAGCAGAAGCTTGCAGACCCTGTTATGTTTATTTTGAGAGCTCAGAGAAGAAACATAGCTCCCAATCGCTCCGTCTGGGCTGCTTGCCATTGTCTTGTCCTGCATGTGTGCCTTATGTGAAGTGGGTTTTTTTGGGTGGGAAGTGTGTGTCTCCCTGTTCATATTTCTCTGTATGCTTATGGTGGAGACAGAGGGCAGGAGATGAGTATCTATAACCAGTGGGTGCAGTTGTTTAGACTACTTTTACCTGCTGTGGGTTTTTTCCTTTCATTAATGTGCCTGAAACTTGAAATCATCCTCTGAATGCAGGATCGCACTGGCATGAGTCCTGAGAAAAAAACTTCAGATTTGGCTAAGATCTTACGTGTTGAAAAGTATTGATGGAGGCTTTCTTTGTGTTACTCTTAATTATCATTTCTTTCCCATTAACTAGAGACAGATAATTGAAGCTTAGCACTGGAAAGAACATTTTGTAGGAAACAACCCTACCCCAGGAAGGGGATGAACCGATGACCCTGTAAGCTTTCCTAGCTCAAATTTCTGTGGCTTTTCCATGAGGAAAGGACAGAACAGGGACTGAGAACACTTTGACACTTTATATCCATTCTCTGCTGAAATAAAGAGAAAGCACACAGAATCTGTTTTCCGCAACACTGATTATGTAAATAGGGCTCTCTATTACAAGTAAAGTTGCACTGATCTCTGGATAAATATGAGGGACCTGTAAACAGCAGGGAAAATTCAATGAGCCTCGAATAAAAGTGTGATCTGACTGCGCTGACAAACTGTCAGAGGAGTGCATGCCAGCCTGCACAGGTGGAGCAGGATATAAAGTACCAGACAGCTAGTTGGAAATCCCAGCGATGGAATTTGGGAGGGGATCTGTCACACCTGTCTCTGAAAGGGTGATCACCTTGTCAGAAAGTAATAATTTGATACAGGAAGCTGCATTTAGGAAACTTGAAATTTTTTTGTTGTTGATCCTTTGTAAAGAAGCTACTGTAGAACAAGAGCAAAGGCTATAGAGAGGTAATATTTTTTAATTAAACTGGCTGATAGCATTACAGAAAGCAAAGAAGTTTTTGGACTGTGGGCTGTGGCTGCTTCCACTCCCTCACCTGCATCTCAGCCAGCCTAATAAAAGGTGTTACCTCTCCCAGTAACTTTTTTTTATACCCTGGGTAATTGTGTGTTTCGTGTTGCTGCCTTTGTAAGAAAATTGTTAACAGTCTGATTGTCTTTGCGTTCCTGCAGGTCGGATTCGCACCAGGAGACAGAGCTCTGGCAGTGCCACAAGTGTCACCTCAACACCTGCTGATACTCGAGGCCGCAGCCGGGCTAAAGTAGTCTCTCAGTCCCAGCGTAAGAATCGCTTTATTCTTGGGGAGCAGAGCAAAGAGTTATTAATGTGTTTCTCTTGAATTGCAGTAGCACCACCAGAGAATTGGGCTCACTTTGGACATGTAACAAAACAGCTCCCCACCTAGCCAGTGTGTGTGCTCCTGCTGACAAATAGGGCCCCAAATCCCAGTGCTTAGTTGTGGCCTTTTTTTACCAGCTGTGCAGCAGAATTTCATGTCGCTGATGTGTAGCTCTAAATAACTGGCACTGTGTCTTGCTGAGACACCCCTTGTGCCTGTAGCTGACTGCTTGCCCCTGCCAAGCCTCTCCTGCTTATGTTAGACTATTTCTGTATGTGTGAACATGTGAGCTGTCTAAAATTAATGGGGTTTGGCATCAGTTGAAAATAGGACATCACCTATTTTGTGTAGATATGGGAAAAAGGGTTCTGCTTTGATTCACATGACACATCTGCGCTCTCTGGCTTCCTGGCAAGGCATAGTTTTCTCCTAAAAGCCACACATATGGTGCTGCTGCATATTTGTCATGTGTATCTGAGGAGAATTTTGTCACTCAGACTTTAAAAAGGAACTCCCTGTTATGAGGACTTTCAGCCTTGTCCATAGAAAATTTGGTTTGTGGAAGGACCTGTCTGTTCTGAGGACTTGTCTTGCTTTGTACCCCTATTTGAAAGCCCTTCTCTGTTCATTCTTTCATTGCTTTGCTCTGTCATGCTGGAGGGATGAAAAAGCAGTTTGTAGACTTGTGTTAGGCTAGGAGAACTGCAGAAGAAAATAATATATTGAGCATGGGGCTAAATGGAAATCTTCACACTGAGGTAATAAGGATATATTTGGGCTTTGGGATGCTAATGTAAATTGATTTCTTCAGTGTGGAACCTAGAACTGATCCAAAGCCAGAAGTGACCTTTTTTCCCCTAAACTTAGTTTGGTGAAAAAGCAGTTATACCAGATGAGATAAGTCTTAGAAGTGTTTTAAAAATTGTTATTCTTTAAAGGTTTTCAAAGATTATGGACCTAACTTTTCTATAGAATGCCTTATTTATAAGATTATAGAAGATTTAGGATTGTCGGGCCACACTTGAGAAGATCGAGTCATAGGATGATCATGTCTGGACCTGCTGCCTTGGTCTAGTTTGCTGAGTTTCCAGCCTAGCCCAACCAGATGTGATCTTTATCCTTAAACCAAGTTTTGCATGGAATAATTTACGAATTCAAATGTAGTGAGTCAGTCACAAGACCAAATCCTCCATGCCCACACCATGGATAACCATGTTGTAATTTCTCAGACTGTGTTGGGATGCAGTTTAGAGCAGAGCTTGGGTCTTGGTGTCTTGGTTGACATTTTGCTGAGAAGTTGGTCAGCCTTGGGAAGTTTAGTTGCCATCTGCACATTAACTCACTGCACTCTGCAGAGGCTTTAGGAGTGACATGTTTGTAAATGAATCTGTCTGTATTGTGTATAGCACAAACCGCATGCTGAACGCTGTATTGTCTTGCTGTCTTTTAATCCACTTTTTGCCTGTCCTTTGGTCTGCCCTCATAATCAAGGATCCAGATCAGCTAATCCTGCTGGTGGTAAGAAACATTTTCCCTTTCTTGCTTTTTCACATTATTTCCTTCACATTTTTTAACTGCTAAGCTTTTAGCTTTCCTCATTCTCTCCTAACTGTAAGACTTAAAAAGCGTTTTCTTGAAGTCATTAATCAAAATGTGTATGGCAGGTGATTTTGCTTTCTCCCACTAGTCAGACATGGTAAGCATGTGTTCTGATGTCAAAGCTGTCTCACTGCTGCAGCTCAAACCCCAGGGGCTGAATTATTCTCTCAGTTACTTGAGTACATCCCTGCTGACACCAGTGAGATGACTTTTAGGTCATGGTGCTGTGTGGAAGACTGGCACCTGTCACTTTGGGGTGGGGAGAATGGAGCTGGCCCCATGTACAGTATTGGACTATATTTGATTGGCTCAGAATAGCTCTCTGGCCAAGAAATTGGAGGGGACAAGTAAATTTATACATGTGCTATGGTATTGTTCATGAGACTAATAGAGTTGCATAGCTTCTTAAATCAATACAGAAGAACAGTCTTCAACTCATACTAGTTGTAAAAGTATCTGGAAATGAAATTTTTGTGAGATGTGTAGATGCATTTCAGAAAAAAATTAGTATGAATACTGGTTCGAAATGTGAGCTTGCCTGAATATGGTCTTGCAACCCTTTCAAATACACTTTTCTTGGCTGTTTCAGCAAATAAATTCCATGTCAGAAATAGTAATGGCATCAGCAGATTTTCAGGGACTTGCATACTTCTTTCTTAGAAGAAATGTAAAGTTGTCATGGACCATTCAAACAAACAAGGAAAAATAAAACAGGCTAACTGTTCAACTTGCTGAAAAATTTCATCATCTGAAAAATAAATAACTTAGGTTTAACCAGCCAGACCTAAGTAACCCAGCACCTCTCTGAGTGTGAGGCTCATGGGATTTACCCATTATTGTGCCGATCTGTTCAGATGTGGTGGGTATTTTATTTTCCTACACTGAATTATTCCAGAAAAGCAATGCCAGCATTACAGTGTAGCACAAACCTGCCTGAGCTGCTTTGCAGCGAGTGACCTGTGCCAGAAGCCAGGGCACTGCAGCACAGCTCTGCACTCAGCCTGGTTGGTGTTGCTTTACGAGGAGGTGAGGCAGCCTGGAAATCCCTTGCTGCTGCAGCAAGGCTGCTCCAGCACCTCCACAAGCTCTCCTAAAGCCAACTTGGATGTTCATACATTGCAGTGTCTGCTTTGGGCTTGATCTCTGTGGGCAGCAGAGGGTTGCTGATGTCAGTGTTCATTGTCCACAGGCTTTCCTCAGTCTTCTTGAAAGCTTATAGGGGACGCTTCCATTAATTTTCTGAGGGATTTGGATTAAATTCTTGTATAGAGCTGATTGTGTTCCAGTTTTGCTGCCAGTGTGTTTAAAATCTTGGGGGCTTTTAATTGTTTTTTCTTTATTTCTGGTTCTCTTCTAGCTGGTAGCCGGTCTAGCTCTCCGGGTAAGCTCTTAGGAAGCTCCTATGGTGGCCTGAGCAGTGGAGCATCCAGAGTCCAGCCAGTGCCATCATCCTCAGAGAAGCGCAGCAAGATTCCTCGGAGCCAGGGATGCAGTCGGGAGACGAGTCCCAACAGAATAGGCCTAGGTAAGAACAGTCACTGCGGTGACGTGCTGGCCGGCGTGCTTGAAGGAGGGGTTTTCCTCTTGACTAGGAAACTGTTTATGGTGCTGTTGTTTTTCTGAGTTTTTCAGCTGACAAGTTAATGTGATTGTGGTTTATAGGAGAATAATTTCAATTTTCCAGGTTGAGCTTATGGTTTCAAAGTAAACTTAAAGATGTCATGAGGTGTTTTCTGTTTGAAATTCAACATGAGCAGTATTATTAGATCAGGAAGCAAGAACAATTGTGAAAAACCATCTCAGCAAAATGACCTCATTTAAGCTTAGTCCTCAAATGAGTTGAGCTATCTTTACAGTCACACGGAATCAAGGGCAAAAAGCACCTTCTTGGATTATTTTAGAAATTTTGCATCTTAAATGTTTGCTTCTCTCATCCTTAATATCCTGGAGCCACGTTCTTAGAACACGTTTTAGACTTATGTATTAATTGTTCTGTTTTTGATACTCTCATCTCAGTGAATATTGAGTAATAGTTTCTATTTTCAAATTTATCAGCAGACCTTTTTTTTAAGTCAGGTGAGTAAATATTGTATATATAAAACTTTGTGTATATGAGTTGAAGTGGAAAGGTATTCAGTGTGCTGTCTGAGCATTTTCATTTAATAGAAATTATGTTATAAGTTTGTCAGTCATTTTAAATGATATTGATGCTAAATTATTTTTTATCTCCAAAGACTTTACTAGTAGATTGAAATAGATTGAAATTGTAGCCTTACTGTTGGCAATTAAATTTATAACTATTGCCATAGCAATTGTTTTATATTTTACATTTGAGCTGCATTTCTATTTAGAGGAGGTTGTTAATAAAGAAGTATTTTATTCATTCTTTCCAGTATACTGAAATGCGTTTAAAGCACCTGAGTGTATGTACCATTATGATTCATAAAAAATACTGCATATTCATTGTGACTGCTTTTCCAAATTCAGTGTTCTTCTCATGTCTGATCTATTTTATGGGCTCTTTATGAATACATTGTGCTTTTCTGTTTGTTGCTTTTAAAATGTCAATTGCCTCCCAAATACTAGAGGTAATTCTTCTGCTACACTGTGTAGAAGCGCATTGTTTTTTAGGAGGAAGCAAAGGCTGGTTGGATGGTACCATCACACATGCTTAAGCTGATCATCATATTATGTGGTCTGATTTGAAACATTCTTGAGCACCTGAAGGGAAATTGCCTTGTGTAAAATCCTCACTCTTGGGTTGCTTGCCTGCTTTCAGGTATATTACAGGAGCCTTGAATTCTTTTAAAAGAGTAATTTGTATCTCATTTCATTGATGTAGTCCCTGAGGACACCAGTGCTCGTTCTTTGAGAGTGGGAGAGAGCTCTGACATGTATCAGATGTGTGGCTTTTACCTATTCCCCCCAGGTTGATGAACACAGCCTGGGTTGAGCTGTTACGGGAACAGGAGTGTCTGACATTTTACTGTTCAGTTGCAGAAATTCTGTTTATTGATTGGATTTTGAAAGTTGTGATACTGACCCAGATGGAGATAGCTTTTGAGCTGTCAGTTATATACCATTATTTCATTGTACTTATTACTTCTTAAAATAGTAGCTAACAGTATTTTATGCTTTCTTACTGTGTTGCTTCAGTCTCTATATTTCCTTGATATTTTATTTTGTTTGTTCATTTCATTAAATAGACTCCCACTCACCTTGATTCCAAATACAGAAACCATCCCTTGGAGTTTTTCAGGCCCTCCTGGGGCAGTAGCAATAATAGAGCCCTCTGCGTGTGGATGCCTGTTAGCATCAGTACTTTGCTTCTAGCTTTGATTTCCATGATGACTAAAGGTATCCATTAAGTAGATTCCTTCTGTGTGCTGGGAACCTTGAAGAAGGTTTTGTTTCCCCAGAAGCAGCATGAGGCACATTCAGTGTGCTGAAGTCCTGTGTGGTCACCTATATGGCTCTGCCATATGTGTGACACTTCAGTTTTAAGCTTGCCTCTGCTGTCTGCTCAGTGAGTTTTACTAGTGGTGATATCCTCTTTGGGAAGGAGGAGTGCAGTTCACTTAATCTTGAGCTTTTCTTTGGGCCCCTTGAAGGAGATCATCTGCTCAAACAGGTGATAACCCATTTCCCATGTTTTGAAAATTATCAGTCTGAAGTTAATTCTGTTAGATGCTCTGCAGATCATATGGCACATCAGGATGTGAATGAAGTGAGAGATTCAAGACAGCCATTCTCCAAAAAGTGGAGCAAGCACAGCTGCCTATCAGCTTCGTGCAGCAGCACTCTTTCTGTTGGGGGTTATGCTGTGTACGTTTATTGGAAATCTGCCGGCAGTTCTTGACTTGCCTTGACTTGGGTGTTCCCCACTGCAGAACTTTCCTTTGGCTGTTTGGCAGAATTTCAGACTCTTTAAAATGCTAGTATTGATGTAAGAAAGCATCTGCTGATTTTTAGTCTCCACTTAACAATCATTAAAATTCATATCCTAACCAGTTTCTTCCAAGTGGTAGATTGGTAAACAAGGGGTACTTTCATGTTCTGCTGGTGATATTTGCATCTGTTGGGTTCCAGTGGCATAAGACTGCTTAATAGTGTGTTTTAATAATGGTGTGAGCCATGTCTAAGTGCTCTGACTTTCCAGATGAAATTGGTAAAACTTAGATGTACAGTACACATTAGAAAGTTGGAATATTATTGGAAAACAACCCATCTTTGTCCTGTCCTAGACTTAGTCACAGCAGATCTGGCTGTGGTCACACTGTCTGCTTTCATGCTGCCTACTCCTCTTAATCCATTTTGCTACTCATGCACTTGATTTCCTTCCAGCTTTTGGGGGTTGAGAATTCCCAAATTGAGACTTGGTCTGTCTTCTTTGCTTTTGCTCCCTGCACTGCAGAGACAGACTGTCACAGTATGAGAGACTTAGCTAAATGACAGCACTCTTGGCCTTTACTGCTGGCAGTGTCTAAAGGAAATAGTCTGAGTAGCTGATACAAAATCCTCTCTACACAACATGGTGGTGAAAATGTGAGGCAGGTGCCTGGGAGTCCAGAGCAGACTCATCCTTCAGTTCTTTTCAATCAATTTTTTTCCTTTGCTTTTCTTTTGTATCCAGTAACATGCAACCCTTTTATTTGACCATTAGTCCTGAAATACCCAGTATTTGGCTTTGGGTGTTCTGTTTGTGCAGTCAGTATTATGTTTCATCTGTAGCACTGTCCTGCTAGTGTAGGACAGTGCAGTTGAAGTGCATTTTCTTCATGCTTCTGCTGTTAGCTGGTATGGGAGAATCTATTGTATGCATCCACTAATTTTTTTAATCATTCACATCTCTCCCTCTCTAAAGAGCCTTTACTGTTTTTAGTAGGGTTGTAGTATAGAAAAAATGGGCAGATCTTCTCTGTTTAAGAGAAATGACTGCTTGTGCAAACCTGATGTGAAGGCTGCCATTATTTACATCCAAGCATGTGACCCAAGAATGAGAAGTTTGCTTCTAGAGGTCTGCAATTTCAAACCAATTATTTGTGTGGAGAGCTTTAGTGTTACTTTTACCTGTAGTTCACCTGTCAGCTTTTTCCCTTGTACATCTGAGATGGGATTATTGTACTCATGGACCCTAATTTCATCCAGTTCTTAAAATTTAGTATGTCTTATTTATTGTAAAACCATCTAACTCAGTACCATTAGACATTATGGTGATCTAATCAGCTTGGTTGATAGCTCATCTTGCATTGTCTGACATCAGAGGTCAACCATCAGAACCATTAATTCATCTGAGATATATAAACTGGGTTTTGCAAAACTGGGAGGGATTTGACAAAGCAAGAATCTGGCAGAAGTCTCTATTTTAATTTTAAAGCCTAAATATGAAAGTTTCTATTTTGTTCTGTACTGTTTTGCTTGAAGGATGCTAATATATCCAGTATATGTGAGAGCACTGAAGCACTGTAGAGGAACTTCAGCTTTAGTCTAGGCATTTAAGTATACAAACCAATAGAGATTTATAAGAATATATATATATATTCTGAAGCATGCAAATGCCATTATTTTTATAAAAACGAGGATACAGTCAAAGTATTAGCACCTTCATGTTACACATAAGTAAGTACCACTACTGTGTTGTCATCAGAGCTGGTAGGTTACATTTTAGTCTGTGCCTGAGAAAACTCCTCAGTGGTGATTCCTGAACACTTGAAATATGCTACTGCCTTTTCAAAACAGCAAGGGAAATCCCTCTTGTCATCAAATTCTTCTGTCAATTAACTGCTGGTTTTTGCCCTAAGAAAATATTGTATTCTCTATCAGGCTTGCTAAACTTTCTGCAAACATTTTTAAAACATGCAGGGTCTCAAACCTCTGCAAGCATGTTGGGTTTTGTCCAAGTAAAGAATATAGTTTAAAGCTCCCCTGAAGTGTCCATATGTCTCAGACTGTGTGCATGTAGAATCATGACGATAAACTTCTAGAAATGTCTGAGGAGCAGAAGCTAGCTTCTGTTAAATATCTGAAGCTACTGCTCTGTTCAAATTCAAATCACTTTTTAACCTGTCTTTCAGGTATTCAGGTTCTAAATGTTTTTTCCCAGTATCTTTCATTGGAGAAAGATATCTTTGCAAGTCTGTGCAGTACACCTTTTTTTTTCCTTAGGATATTTGTTAAAAAAACTCTTATTGTGAAAGGCAAATCTATGTAAAAATATCACACCATTATAATGATTATTTAAAGAAATTTTTGTCTGCTATTTTGTTCCAGAAGGGTGTTTATTTTAAAATTAAGGAAGAAATATTCCGGAAGGGTTTCTTTCAGCCTCATCTGTTTTGCAACAGTAGAGCTTCCCTAAATGATTGAAGATTCCTGCTCTACTTGAATAACAAAACTTGGATTGCTTAAGAAAAAGCAGACTGTCAGCCAGACATTAATGCTGCTGAAATTTCACATCACAAACACAGCTCAGCATGTAAGGTAGTTGGTTTATAAAGAGCCTGAGCAGGCTGCTGCAAATTGTAA